GAGTTCGTGCCCGGTGCGCTATTGCCAATGAACACACATGGGTGGAGGATCCAACTTAATCTTTATTGTTTCAAGTCTGCGCAGAGAGGGGTGCTTGGCGATCGTTCGCAAAACAAGCACACCGGTTTTTATCTTTGGGTACCTTTTATACATATGTTTGCAAGTGTATCGCTCAGTGATTGGTTACAAGCCACTGACATAAGACGTTCTCTACTGAGCATGTCTCTATACCTATGTTTTAGCCATGTATTTCATTTACATACATATATGTTTCATTAACATACTTTTGCCCTTCCCAGGGGTGTGATTTTTAGCATTATAATGAGACCTTTTTCTGAACTTCTTGCTATCTTACAAGTGTCAGGGAGACATTATCCTGCTGGTGTTAGGGAGGCATTCCAGGAATCCTCCGCATCCCACACGCTGTGCTCTGCAAGCATCTCTTAACACACACATACCACACCCCTCCCAGCACCAGTAAGTTGCCTTAAGTATTCAGTTAGATATAGTTTGCAAAAGCTAGATATACCATAAAAAAGATTACATAAAAAGATTACATCAATACAGCAACCCCCACTTAGTGCTCTTAATTGGTTCCAGAAAAACCGAGTGCTAAGCCAAACTGCGTTAAGCAAAACCCATTTTCCCATACGGTTTAATGTAAATAAATATAATTGGTTCCTGCGCTCCTGCCGGTGCTGGGCCTGCTGCTCCCAGCAAGGCACTGCGCGGACTCTGCCAGGGAGGGCATCGGCTCCTCCCGGCCTCATTGTTCCACAGCCATGATGGCCCCTGCCGGCCAACAGTGCACCTGTGCATGGCCTCAGCCACCCTGCCTGCAGGGCCTGAGTCGGGGACCCACCCGCTAGGGAATAATAGCGAGCAGCGGGGCTCTGGTGGGTGAGTGCATGACCTGAGTGGAACGGATCATGGGCTGCAGCCCAGGGATGGGGGGGCTCTGTGGGCTTGGCTCCACTGTGGGCTGGGGCGGGGGACACTGCACACATGTCCTTGAGCACTGGCTCACACTGGCTCAGGCCCCACACTCCTGCCAGCCCCGGCCTCAGGACCTGTGCTCCTGCCGCCTTGTTGGCCCTGGGCGCCAGCCCGGGCCCCACACTCATGCCCCCCCTCCTGCCGCCCCTTCTCGCCGCCACTGCCGCTCCTGCCTGCCCGTCGGCTGCTCCAGCACCACGTGCCAGAGTGGACCCTGGGCTCTTACCACCCTGCCCTGGGCCGCACCGGCCCAGGCTCCATGCTTATGCTGCCCAGCCCTCTGCCCACCCCTTCTCACCCCCGCTTCTCCCCACCTGCTGCAGCACCATGTGCCAGAGCGAACTCTGGGCGCCTGCCACCCCACCCTGGGCCCCACTGGCTGCCACCCACCGCTTCAATTGATGCTGCTATCACCGCTGCTGGCACCACTGTTTCACGTGCTGAGTGTTACAATGAAACCGCTGAGTGCCAAGTGAAACCAGGTAGGTATTTTTAATGAGAGCTATAGCGCAACTGCGGTAAGCGAAACTGCATTAAGCGGGGGTTGACTGTATGCAGCTGTGAGTCCTTTATGTATATACAGTAAAATCCCTGTTACCAGAACACTCTATTAACCAGCCGGCCGGCCAGACGCAGGTGGCGGGGTTGGGGCAAGCTCGCATGCCGTGGCTGCTGCTGCCACCCACCACCCTGTGCTGTACCTGCTCTGTGTGCGGCTGCAACCCCCCGCTCCACCTGTGGCTGCTGTCACCGTCCCCTCCCCGACTGCTCTGCATCCAGCTGAAAACCGCCAGCCTTGGGTACTCAGGTAACTGGCATTTTTAGATGCCCGGCACCCCCATTCCCCACTTGTGCCAGATAACAGGGATTTTACTGTATTCATTTATCTTAAGGTACAATAGGATCAGACAGAGGAAATGGGATTTGAATTCTCAAACTAGAGGTAACATTTACTATTTACATATTGTGGTTTCAGGACCCATAAATGCCATCACCCTTCTGCCTTTAAACAAGACAGAGCCTGTTTCTCAGAAACTTTGCTATACTGCATTGCTAAGTTTTAGTCTGAAGGTAGTCTGCCCCACTCTCAACTTGCTGTCCATGAGCAGGATAAAATTGTAGAACATAAGGTTTTGACTGTAAAATTGTTAAACCAAGGCTGAAAATACAGTTTTTACATGTGTCTCTCTCCTCCTCACTTCTCAGCTAAGTGCTCTGAAGGCAGCTGGCTTTGTCATAGAGAGGTTTCTGGTTTTTGAGTGGATTTCATCACTTTACTAAATTTTCTGAACTGCACATGATACTGCTGACCTATGTACCAGCTCTAGTGCATATTCACGCAGAATGAACATAGGCTAGGTACAGACAGACATTTGACATGCTCCAAACCTAGGAATGCTTCAAATTTAGAGCTGTGCAAATGCACATACCTCTTCAAGTGCTAAGTAGGAATCTGACAGGGAAGGACTTCCACAAAGGCTGGTGGAGCAGTGAGAGGGCCAAAACTGGGGTGAGGACCAAAGACAACATAGCTTAGGTCGATTGCCTTTGCAGGCCAGAGCACTAAGCTGGACTGGCGTGTGCTACTCATGTAGGGCTCTTTTGCAACACTTTCCCTATCACACTTATGTTACCAAACTCCGTACCTGTAAATAATGCATGGATATTTTACAAGAAAATGTATTTATATAACTCAAAAAACTTCAGGGAGCAAAGTGTCACTTGCAGCAGCAGACTTTTACTGGAATCCTTCTCAGTAAAATGAACAGGGGTTTTAAGTGCCATCTTCCCTACTCTGATTAGGAAGTACAACCTGTGTTTGCTTTAGCTTGATCTAACTCCTAGTGATAAGGCTGTCTTTTTTACCAGATGGTAAATATAACTTGTGGAGGACACTGAGCTACGGGAAGAGTTGTTAATTCCAATATTTTGAAGAATTTTTATTAACTATTCACATAGCTGCACAAAGCTTAGATCTTGTCTTTGATCTTAATGCTACTTTGGAAGTTGGTTGCCAGTAAGGCAAATTTAAGCTTCTTCCTGAGAAGTCAAGATGAAAATAAAAAAGGCAGCTGAAATTTTCCAAGCTTCAAAATGTTGATAAAATTGTCTTGAAATCTGATGGAAGAAAAGTGATGAGATTTGCATTAAGTTTTTCCAACATGGCATCCCATTTTGACCAGCTGAATAAGGAGACCAAATGATGACTAGAGACCTACTCAAATTGCAACTGTGTGGATTTTATGGAAATCATGAAATCAGGAGACCTCCACAAAATCCACAGGAAACCCTGCCTCGTAATGATTTAAGTCTGGCAGTGAATAACAACAACTATGAATGAGGAAGACCTTTAATGATAGCACAGCACCAGGTTGCTCCAGCACAGACCATGTGGCTGCCCCCATCTTGATTTCCCCTTGCTCCCCAGGGCTCATGTTCAAATTCCTCACCTGATAAGGTGTTCCCTTGTAAGGGACTGTTTCCAAAGTCTAACCCTTATCACTACACCCCCAACCCGCCCCAAAAACTTAGTAAAAATACAATCCTGGCTCCCCAATGGGGAGTGGGGAAGATGCTGGGAGAAACACGTTTCATCAGCACCTGCTTGGTCTGGATCAGACTGCTGTACAGCTGCTCAGGTCTCCTGAGCCCAAGCCTGAGCCGGGGCTGGAGTGGGGGAAGAGAGAGCGCACTGGAAGATGGTGTGGCAGGCAGAGAATGGGGAGCTGGAGGAGAAACAGCTCTGGAGGGAGAAGCAGCTTTGGAGGGAGTGGAGCCGGCTGCCAGCCAGCAGCGAACCTCTGAAAAGCTCCAAGTAAGCCGGAGACACTGGCAGCAGGCCCATGGCAAGAAGAAGCAGTGGGAGCTGGATGGAAACTTGGCTAGGGATAAGCCGGTTACAGGACGGGTGGAAGCATCCCAGCTAAGGTCCTGTATTTTCCTTTGCTTCTTTGGACAGGTGGAGGGAGAGCCCGGCAAGACGCCAGAGAGACAGAGCCTGCACACAAGCGTGTGTAAAACCCAGATGGGTCAGGACGGAACTGAGCTGAAGCGCCCAAGGATAGAGCCGTCACGTCCATGTGAGGCCAGCACAGCTGGGAGTTTTTCTTTTAAACAGAAGTGCCTTTATTACAGGGAGACAGGCCAGATACGACCATGAGCCCATACAACGTCAGAGAATGAGTCTGCCCCTAAAGATCTTGGGTGTGATGGATGCATTAACGTTAGGGTGGCGCATGGCTGGGATGTAGGGGAGGTTGGAGCCCCAGAAGACAGGATAAGCCCAGCGCACCAGCAGTAAGTTACCTGGGGAATTAAATGCTTCCCAATGAAAATATCCAATAAGACCAAGTCGTGGTAGGGAAAAATCGTGTAGCCCCTTGGTGCTTCTAAGCTCTGATGAACTTGAATCCCAATAGCACAGTCAGGTCGGGCACAGGGCTGCTGGGCCCTGAGGCCCTGTCACGTGCTGAGCTGACATACCTCCTTGAGTTGGGTAGAGCCCTCATTATCACAGACTTGATAATTTGGACATGATTTTTGAGTATTCACTTCCTATTAAAATTATAGATAAGAATTGAATCAATTTGGCATTTATGAATTTTAATTAAATTTATGCCAGAGAAAAATCTAACTTAGTAAGATTACTCATTTCACTAATAATTACATTTTTCATGCAGTATCTATCTTACACTTTTTATAGGAAAAGATAGTGGTGGTCTGGATCTAACAGTAAATATTGTAATTTTGTCATGTACTAGGCATTAGTTGATAATTGTCAGACCTTTGGCTCTGTATAGAGAGATATTCTGGAACTTCATCAATTCAAGCCAAAAAAACCTCAAGGACAGGTAGCGCAACTTCCAGTGTTGAATTCCTGAAGGAAGCAATATTTACTGGCCTCTGATGAGCAAATAATAAATCTATGTTTATTTAGTCAGGTTTCTGTAAATGACTGAGTGTTGGCTTTCTGAGATAAGAATTGCTATAAATGTGGCATAGTCTAGTCATCTCAGAAAGCCTCCAGGAAGAACTCCATTTCTCAGAGACTAGCAACACAACAACAGTAAGTCTCATTCTAAATGGAAGCTTTCTATATAAAAATGTTGCCTTTTCATTTATTAAAGCTCCTATAAGAGGCCATTGAAGTATTGAGCATAGGCTAAAAAACCCCCTCAACTTACCCATGTCTGACCTCCAGGTGAGTGCTGGGAGCACTTGGGTTTGTCAGAGACGACAATTCCCTTTTCTAAGCAGAAATCATAACTTTTTTTGTGTCTTCACAATTGTGGGTAGTGCTACCAATTCATGCATATGCTCCACAGCAGTTACATGAAAGGTGAATATGCTGCCTTGGAGCCTTAAACAGTTGACCAGGTTTGGGTTAAATATTCTCCCTCTTCCTCTCCCTGTTTCTGTCTCTCATAATCCTGATGCAGCCTGAGTGAACCATGAAGTTCTGTACCTGCATGATATTGTTTTCCCTGGTCCTGTGTGCCACTGCTGACAACTGGTTCTCTGATGCTGGAAGATTCATAGCAGACGCTTTTCAAGGTAAGCTTTTACTAATTATGTTGTTCAACAAAACTGTCCTTGAAAGAAAGGTTGCGGGAAGTGGGTTTGAGAGCAAGGAACTGAATTCACTAGGATGTTAGTGCTCTGCTACTATGATCTTGGGTGTCCTTTCAAAGTGGACCTAACTTCAAATTGGGAAGGTACATAATCACTCTTAAGTATTTCTTCATAAGAAGATACATGAAAAGTTTTGCTTTTGTCTTTTAAATGTGAAGGTTTGGTTAAGATCCTGTATTTTGATCCACAAGGCTAGACACATATGGCAATCTGTTGACCTTAATGGGATTTCAGGCACATGGATGCCTGAACCTGCACAGGTCAAATTCTATTCGCATGCAGATCTTTGAGAAAGACAAAAGAGTTCAAGACAAAAATGTTCCTTTTCTCTCTCCCTGTTCGTTTCTTATTTTCTCCTCATTTCCTTTAGTTTCTGTTTATTATTTATTCTAAGAAATCATTTAATGCTAAATTATTATTTGAGCTGGGGCTCTGGGTATAGTGTAGGGCAGTGATTTTCAATGTATTTGCCATAGTGGGCTACACTTGCAGCTCTCAATGTGTTATGTGGGCCACACCCACACAACTTACTTCCTGTGTATCCATTTAAAAATGTTATAACAGGACGTCACATAGGCCTCAGCAGCGTGCTGATTGGGACACATGTGGCCTGTGGGCCATGGGTTGAGAACCACTGATCTAGGGCATGTGTCCTGTGGCTCTCAGCCATATGAAGATTTTGGCTTGTAGCTACAAAGGATAGGAAGCTGGGCCACTCCCTAATTTACGGGTCTGGACCCTATATTTGTAATGGCTTATGAATCATAACATAATAAGCACTTTTCCATCAGGAAAGATTAAGTCAACCTTTAAAAGGATATTTATGCACTTCATTGAACAAGGTATCATTTTAACTCATTCACTTCCATGCAGTACGTATTGTTAGGCCCAGTGAAATTTGGGATTGTTCTTACCCAAGTGTGTCTTTTTTGTTTTAGTTCAGTTCTCAGAAAACTCTATACCAATTTCCATAAAGAAATAAATAAGTTCAGAAGGTTTCCTAAATCTCTCCAGAAAATATTTCTAGGGTCAGAAAAGTTAGGTCCTAATCCAACACAGTACTGAGCACTGTCACTTGTTAGGATGCTGAGTTGAGGACATTCAGTACCTTGCAAAACTGTGCTCTTCGATCCTGCCTTATGAAAGCACTTCAGGATATGTTTAAATGCACCCTTGCTTTGGTAAGCGATTCATCATATGCCTTAAGTCATCATTAGCCTTCACTACTCCAAAAATTCCTTCCCAGGCATATAAATCGAAGGTCTGGGTGGCCCTCATGCATACACCATGATCCAGGAGGATGAAAGACCTCTTGGCTGACAGTACTTCCTAGGCCGTCCTTTGACTATGGGCTGACATCTCTGTAACTGGACTCACCACAGCCTTGTGCTGATGAGGTTCTTATAAGGAAGACAGGAAAAAACCCAACATAAAGTACTGCCAGATCGGCTTCCACTGAGATGCACTCATAGCTGTGTTCCTCATTACATTGTGCTCTATAGGCTTGGCAGCTTCCTGCTGCACTCTCGCTGCCTTATTAGTGACCCTTTATTGGGTCTCCACCCCTTCAGCCACAATCCTAGGTCTCCATGCCACCAATTGCTTTGCAGCCTGACTTGACCCTAAACTTCTGCCCCTCCACGGAAGCCTCTCCACGTTCGGGCCTCCTGCCACCCATCTCTCCCTCTCTTTTTCACTCTTTTGGCCTTGAGGCTGTGTTACTTCCCCACCTTGTTCAGTGGACTCTGCGGTTCCCTTCCTCGCACTTCCCCATGGGGTACCTGCCTTGCTGGGTGCAGCCTCCTCCGGCCGTGCTCCGTGCTCCTCCCTGCTTTGTCACCGGGTTTGGCAGCCTTTCCGGGATGCTCTCTTGGGGCTTTGCCTCAGCGTGCCTCTTTTGGGGTGTGCAAACAGCCATGCTTCCCTTTTGGGCTGTGCCTGGCTTCCTGGCTCTAGCCTGCGCTTCCCCGTGGTGTTTCCACACTGCCCGATGCTCTTTCCTCTGTCTCCCTTCTGGTATGCTCTGTTCCCGGGCCCCACCCTTCTCTTCTCCTGATCTGCAGGCTCAGGCTGCTCCTGAACCGGTGCACCTGAGCCTGCCGTCCCAGCATTTCCCCACTTGCCGTGGAGCCTGGGGAAGATGGGGAAAGCCCCCATTGGCTGTATCTTCCCCTCTCACAAACATATTATAAGGATGTATGACAACTGGATTCCAAAACAGGTCCTATACTCTCAGATCACCTCTGATCCTCTACAGGTGGGACAGAGAAGAGATTCAAGGACACTTTGAAGGCCAATCTGAAGAAATGCAATCTTAACGTTAATACCTGAGAGACTCAAGCACTGAATCATTCTCAGTAGTACCATGATGTACAAGATATCAATCACTCTGAGATAAGTCACCTTACTAGGGCCGTGAATAGATGAGGACACAGAGGGAAAGTGCTGTGACCTGACATCACCAGGATCTAGTCCTTCCTTCCAGAACTATTTGCCATGTCTGCAATCAAACATGCAGATCTTGTATTGGCCTCCTCAGTCATCCATAGACTTGCTAATAACTTCCGTACTTCCCGGAAGACTGTCATCCTTATATCAAGGGAGTGTCAATAGCTAGGTTCATATGGATGGAATCAAGTATCTAATTTAATCTCAAGAAGCAACTCACAATAGGCTCTGATTCCATTTATTGTCTCCTGTTCATCATTTTACCCCTTGCTTCCAAGCTGTGTAACATATTTAATTTTAAGTTGATAATCTATCAACTCTACCTATTGTCGTAAGGCAGTTTTGTTTTCTTAACAAAGCATGGTAAAAAAGATGAGTTTATATTCATTTCAGTTTCAGATGTTTACAATGTATGCATAAAAGTTCTCAACTCTGTCCAAATTCATCTCCATAGGACCAATTAAACCAAATCACCACAGGAATTAATTTAGTGCAACACGGAAATTCCCCAGTATAGACATTCTTGACCTCATTTTAGCTTCTCCATCCCTGAGGAATTCCTGAAAAATAATGCAGAGTTTTGTGGATAAAGCAGAGGTTTATGGATATTTTTTTCAGTAGGTGTCAACCTCCATTTAGACAATGGCATAGATTGGAGACTCAAAAGAATGATGTTTGTAATTTGGATGCATATCTTTACTCTGTTCTCCTAGTAACCTTGAGGAGAATGCTTTGAGAAATCTCTGAGGGCTTATTGTACCTAAAAGATTCCTCAAATATATAATATATCTGAGTCTATTGATGCTATATGGTATTTTGAGATCCTTCTCAAGAAGCCCTCATTCATCTCCTCCTCCAGAGATGTCATCTGATAGAAGTCTTATTTAGTAGAAATGTTCAAGAATCTTTAAATCTATTTCTTCCTAAAGGGCATATTGGGTGTATGAGCCCTTCTGTCTTCTGTACGAGCACTATATTTGTACGCCCTAGTAGTAATGTGGCTGGAATATTTTTGGATGGAGCAAAATAATCTTAAAGTTTTGTTCTACATGTACAGCATCTACATAATTCTCTCCCCCTTATCCAGGTGCTAGGGATATGTACCAAGCATACAGCGATATGCGTGAGGCAAATTGGAAAGATTCAGATAAATATTTCCATGCTCGTGGGAATTACGATGCTGCTAAAAGAGGTCCTGGTGGTGCTTGGGCAGCGGAAGTTATCAGGTAAAGAATGCTAATTGGTATATGAGAATACAGTTGGTAAGGAGTTGGGCAATCCAATGAGGCTGACATGCATCCCGATTCATACATTTTTATTAAGCTCTTGGAGAAAATACATTTTTATTTAATAGCTTAACTAGCCAAATTTGATTACAAAGACTGGGGCCATGCTTGAGTTTTCAAAGCAGCTTTCTGTGTTTGCCAGTTATGAGCTGAGAAATTTAATGAATTCTCAGATCAGATTACAGGTCCATGTAGAAACAGGGTGACATGTTCATGACAGTGCATTTAGTCTTTCTGGTCCCTGGTGTTAAACTGTTATGGTTGAATATAAAGCCTATAATGTTAAGAACTTAAGAACAGGTAGAATTTAATGAAGGGAAATTGTCTGAAAGCTTTTTAAATACAGTTGTGTTTCTGGGATGGTGTTAAGTAATAAAATAGGATTCCAGACTAGTGTTAAAGGATTGACATGACACCTGGTTCGATAAATGACAGAAAAGCTTTATTTACTCCAAGTATTCCAGGTTAAATGAGCCCCAAACAAAACAAAGTCCAGTATTTAGCTGTAAAGTGATAATTTCTCACCAGTGCAGGCTAAAGAGAGGTGGTTTGTTTCTTATCAGCTTCTCCAGGTGCAGATCTGCTCACCTCCGAGAACAGCTGGGCTCAGTAGCAGTTTGTTTCAGAGAGATTTCTCATTTCTGAAGCACGCCCTGTTAGCCCTCTTATTCCTCTTCATAGACCCCTTAGCTCAGCATCTTCAAAGTGCTGTAGTTGTGTAAATCAAGAGATTGCCAAATAGTAATTGACAGGAAAATGCTGTTAATCAAACTGATCATTATTGACGTCAGAAAGTCCTAATTTGAATGAATGACCTTCCTCAGTGACAAGAGGTTATCCATTTCCACTAAGTTTGGAAAGTATCAAGAAACTGATTATCAACCAGGAAAAAACACAAGGTTTTTGAGGAGTCATCCTTGGAAGACCAATGGAACCACTAAGGAAAACAAAAATAAATTAGGAGGAAGCAGTAAAACAAGAGTAAATCAGGAGGAGACATCTATCACATATGGAGAATGACTCTTCCTGCACATTGCCTTGGACGGCCAGAGCCGACTCGAGTTGCGTTAGAAATTGCTCGTACGTTAGGGCAGGCTGGTGAATGGAGAGGCAGACACAACTTATTGGTTGCAAAAAACTACTCACGCCGCTTGCAATCACGACGCAGGTGGTCCGGTCGTCTGAACAACCACACGAGTTGTTCCAGCTGGCGGGGCCCAAGGCAGTTAATCCGTCCGCAATTCGAAGCCAGCGGGGAAAGGGGTACGTCGGGGTTGCGCTCGGTGACGGGAAGAAAGATCGATAGGTGATCAGTCTA